GGGGCAGCTGCCCCACGCGGGGGCCTGTGCCCGGCCCGGCGCACGAGGCTGGGGAGGGGGCGCTGGGGAGGGGGGGCGCTTACCCACGGTGGTGATCAGCGTGCTGGAGAAGAAGAAGGCGGAGGCGAAGTCCCAGTTGGAGGCGCCGGCCGAGCCGTTCCGCAGCACCGACACCCCGTAGCGGTTGGCGCTCAGCACCCGCTCCAGGAAGCGCTCCAGCGCGCTCTCGTTCAGGCAGGGGCTGGCCCCCAGGAAGGCGGCCTTGAGCCCGCGCAGCTCGGCCCGCAGCCGGCTCTCGTAGGGGCGCTCGATGGAGGAGACGAGCAGCGCGCCGAGCAGCAGGTAGCCCAGGTAGCCGAGCAGGCAGAGCGCCAGCAGGACGCAGCGGCTCATGGCACGGCGGGAGCCCGTGCGCCCTGGGCGCACCGCGGGGACGGGGAGGGACCCGGGACCCCCGGGCAGAGCCTCGGTGCGCCCGCAGGGGACGGGGGGACCCGGAGCCCCTCGGCCGCCGCTACGTGTCGCGCCTGGAAGGAGCGGAGCGGAGCTTCCTGCTGCTGCTGCCGGCTCCCCGCGACGAGCCCCGAGCCGAGCCCCGCCGGGCCGGTCCCCGAGCGGCCGCGCAGCGACCCCTGCCTGCAGCCCGGCGCGGCTCCTTAGCCTGGGACAAGCCCCTCCCGGCGGGCGGGGCCGGGACTCGGGGCCCCGCCCGCCCTTCCAAGGCCAGGCAGGAGCCTGGGGGGCACATGCACCGGACCCCCGTGCTCCCTCCCCGCTCACCCTTGGGTGCTCTCCGGCTCCTGTCCTAGGAGATCTCAAAGCTCTTCACAGACAAGGGCCCAAGCCTCCCATCCCCCCCCCCCGGGAAACGGGTCACTGCTGTTCCTATTCCACAACTGGGGAAACTGAGGCAGGAGGGAGGAGGGGTTTGTCCAAGGACGGAGTCAGCAGCAGAACCCAGGAGTCCTGGCTCTGAGCACTGGGCCCCGCTCCCCTCCCAGGGAGAAAAGTCTGAAACCTTCTCAAAACCACTCTGGAGTCTGGCCAGTGGGAGGGGACGTGGAATCCAGTGACATGGGTTTTAACACAGCTGGGTGCGTGTGCACCCCCCCTCCACTCCCCCCCCCCCCCCACGCCAGTGCAATGAGCCTGGAACAAGGGCAGCTCTATCTGGCAGGGCTTGTTCTCTAGTGTACCTACACACACCCCCCACACACACCCCTCTCTGCCCTGGGGGGATCTCACACCACTCAGGTCTCTTGTCTTTGCAGGCAGGATCACCTGCTGCGTGACAGTGGTACCCCAGTGGCCGGGAATTTTCCCTCCGTTGTTACTCACACACTCGTGTCAACTGTTGAGAATGGGCCACTTCCACCTTGATTGAATTGGCCTCCTTAGCACGGACCCCCCACTTGGGAAGGCAACTCCCATGTTTTCATGTGCTGTGTATTTATACCTGCCCACTGTATGGTCCACTCCATGCGCCTGATGAAGTGGGTTCTAGCCCACGAAAGCTTATGCCCAAATAAATGTATTAGTCTCTAAGGTGCCCCAAGGACTCCTCGTTTTTTCTAGTGGGACCCTCTGACTCCCCCCACCCCCGCGTTCCCTGAGCTGTGCAGTCTGGGCCTGACTCTGGTCTCAGGCACCAGGGTAAATTGGGAGTGGAGCAGCCGAGGTCAGTGAAATGGCACCAGGGTAAAACTGGTGCAGGTGGGAGGAGATTCAGCCCCGGGTGTTCGCCTGATCTTCTGGGAGCTTTGTCCCTATGTAACCCCCTTCCCCTCACTTCATCCTCTCGGGCTGCTGAGCAAGTTGGGGGGGGGGGGGGGGACCCTGCCCTAGCATCCTTGCTGTGCAGCGTGGAATGAACCATGCCCAGCTGATAACGGCATTCCTGCTCCAGGGCTTGGTCTGAGGTCACCAGCCGGGCCAGGCCAGGCCGGGCCAGCACACACTGCAAAGCGAACCCAGCCCAGGAGGGGGACAGGGGTTTGGTAGGTCACGAGCTCAGAGCCTGTATGCACCAGGAAGTTGCTCTCGGCATAAGGGGTCAGCCTGGAAGAGGAGCGGGCAAAGGGAGCTGCCAGGCGGGAAGGCCCAGCAGGGCAGAGGGACTGGCAGGGGTGCAGGAGGGAGGGCGGGGAAGCCAGTGCTGAGGTGCCTGTGTCTATCCCAGCAGCGGCATGGGGCACGTCTGTTCCCAGTAACGCTGAGGCTGCTGTCTCCCACCTACTGGTTGAGCTTTTCAAAGCGTCCTAAGGAACCTAGCGCCCAATTCCCAACCCCCAGGCAGCTTCGAAAATCCCAGTCCAAAGTCTGAACAAAACACACAGAGGAACCAACTCGACCCCGGGGGAAGGAGGGACAAGGGCCCGGGGAGCAGGTGACCGTCCTCGTCCCTCTGCCATCGTCCCCTTACACTGCAGATTTGCTCCGTCTGGGCCAGGGAAGAAACTATCCCAGCCCCTTCGATCTGCCCTGGGGGCCCCCAGGGGTGTCATGACCCTGGAGAGGGGGGCCCTGACTGAGCCCTACAGGAACTCATGTGACCGGATTCCAGACTGGAGGGTGGTGGCCGGTTAAAGTCTAGGAGACCGTTCACAGAGCCGCAGCCCCTGCCCCTTGCCTTGCATCACACATTCTAGGTCCTAGTAGGCAGAGAGGGAGTGGGCAGGGGGTCGATGGGCACTGTCTCTGGCTCAGACCAAGTGGGCGGATGGAACGGCACAGCACACGGCCTCACAGCCCTCAGTGCACGGCCCGGGTTGTAGCCGGCGCTTGCCACAGCTGCAGCTCTGGGTTGCGTGATATTAAAAACCAAGGGGGATCACAAACCGCACCGCACTAGGAGCTGGACCAAACACCCAGGTTAGCTCAGGGATGGTCTACACGAGAAAATTCGATGGACCCAGCTACACCCCTCAGAGGTGTGAGTGTAACACAGTTAAACCAACTTACCCACCCCCACAGCATCCGGGGGAGGGAGGATAGTCCCGTCAACCTAGCTATACCTCTCGGGGAGGTGGGCACGGGGAGTGTCTTCCCTGAAGTGGTACAGTGTAGCCAAGTCCTAAGTGCCGACCAGGCAATGGGCTTTGGCACGTGTTAACCTGGGCCGCGGTATTGCTAGAGGAGCCTGTCATGGACTCACAGATCGGGCCCACTCTTGGCCCCATGCAGTCTGTGGGGGGTGCCCCTTTCAGAGCGACAGCCCTTCTCGGGGGTCCACGCTCTCCCGGGGTCAGGCCCCTCCACCTCCTGGAGCCGCACCTCTCTGAACCTTAGCACGTCTGTCTCTGCCGTGGGCCCCCTCAGGGAGTCCACTCGCTCTGGACCCCCGGGGCCTCCATCCCCAAAGGGGTTGATGCCACCCTGTTCTCTAGCCCGGAGTGACTCTCAGCCAGAGTAAAACAGGAGGGTTTATTGAGAGTTGAACACAGCACAGGAAACTCTCAGGGCCTCAGGCCTGGCCTCCCTCAGCCCAGCACATCCCAGTCTCCCTGCATCCAGGTGGTCTCTGTCTGCTCCCCCTCTCCAGCCCCCCTGCCCCCAGCTGGGCATCTGAGATCTCGGGCCCCAGGCCCCGCCTCTGTCCATTGTCTTCCCTCCAGGTAAACAGGGTCGTAAACCGGGGCCTCCTCTCCTGCTTCTGTCCTCTGGCTGGAACCGGCTAGTTAGGTCACCGGGTCCTCACTCTGCAGCCCATTGTCCGCCCACTGGCCAGAACCGGCTGCGTCTCCTCAGCTGGGCCTCTGGGTCACCAGGTCGCCAGGTCACCGGTCGCTGGGGTATCCATCCTCCCGGCCATCGGCTGGGTCCCCAAGTCCTCTCCCTGGTCCTCTGCAAAACACACTCCCTCTCCCCTCACCTCGTTAAACCAGTAACACCCAGGGAAACTGAGTCCCACCCCCTCCGCATGCAAACCATTGAAACTCCACAGAAAACAAGAAACCCCCCACTTCGTCACAGAGACGTCATAAGGCCAGGGGCTGGTTTATCTATGGTGCCACTGTGCTCTCTGAGGCCCTGCTGGGCTCTCCCTGGGTGAAAACATTTCCACTGCGAGGTCCTGGGCGTTGACGGCCTGAGCACATCTCCTTTCAGAAGCTGCTTGCCAGGAAACAATGTCAAGATAAAGAGCTGAAGCAGCAGCAAACACAACACGTCCCCCACCCCATTCAATTCCCCAGCAGGCAGGCTGGCTCTTTGCAATGCAGATAGACTGGAGAGTTGTGAACAGAGGAGAGATGGCCTGCAAAGCTTGGCAATTAAGCTCAGAAATGGGCATTGAACTACCTGTGTTTACCAGGCCAGGCGGGAGGGGCCACTCAGCACTTCAATAAATAAAACAAACCAGGAGTCCTTGGGGCACCTTAGAGACTAACAAATGTATTTGGGGATAAGCTTTCGTGGGCTAAACCCCACTTCATCGGATGCAAAGGTGGAACATACCGTAGGGAGATATAAATACACAGCACATGACAAGATATGTTCCACCTAATGCATCCGATGATGTGGGTTTTAGCCCACGAAAGCTTCTGCCCAAATAAATGTGTTAGTCTCTAAAGTGCCACAAGGACGCCGCGTTGTTTTTGCTGATACAGACTAACACGGCTACCCCTCTGAAACTTCAATAAATGTTCATTTGGATTTGATAAGTTCAAGTTAAGCAGTGTTCATACCAACATGGGTGATGGAAGCTCAGGTAAATGGGGAGTTTTCAGTTTGTGACTCACTATTTTTAGTTTCCTCTTCTCAACTAAAAAGAGGAAGTTGTAATGCCCCCAAAACCCTTCATGGCGGAGCCCCTTGTGGGCTGGAGTTAGGGGGAACTTCCCTGTGGGTGCAGGGTTGCAGAATGCTCCACCGCAAGCATTCTCACCTTCCACGTTCCACTGGTCTCACAGCAGCGGATACCAGCCATTGCTGGAGAAGGGCTAGTGGGCGAGGTGGACCCCAGGCCTGACCCAGCCTCACAGTTCCTATGAGAACGGAGGAAACACCTTGTATAGGGTGACCAGATGTCCCGATAAAAGCGGGACCATCCCGATTTTTAGGTGTTTGTCCCGATATTTCGCTCCGCCGGCCACTCGCGTCCCGTCCCCCCCCGGTGTCCCGATATTTTCTTCCTCTCATCTGGTCACCCTAACCTTGTATCACCACCAAGGGGGTGAGTATTGGACCGAACCCGCTATTTTCAAGCAGCACCAGATCAAAGGCTCTAGCTGGCACATTTGCCTGTCTTCCCTGACCCTGGGGCTCAGAGGAACCCGCCTCAATCAATCCCCTCTAACTAGGAGTTTGTGTGTGATGCAGGCGGAACCAATGCGCTGTGTGCTGACAGACACGCAGTCTGCGGAAACACCAGGTCCCAGTGCAATGCTCCTGCTTGACCCAAATGAGTCCCAGCAAACCACATTCCATCCTGAGCTGAGGCGGGGGCGCTATCCCAGCATGCCTTGCTGCATTGTATGGCGTGAGCGGGGCCTGCGGGGGCGCCAGTCCCAGCATGCCTTGCCGCATTGTATGGCGTGAGCGGGGCCTGCGGGGGCGCC